TAGGTTGGAGGCCATCGCTGGTAGGTTGGAGGCCATCGCTGGTAGGTTGGAGGCCGTTACAATTACAGTAGGTTGGAGGCCACTGGCTTTGATCACCTGGAGCTGCTCCTCCAGGCTGCGGTTGAAGACCATCCTGAGCTCGGATGTGCTTCGCTGATTCTTTTCACCTTCTCCCGGCCTGTGCACAGCGATTGAAGCGTTCCTCGGCCTCTGCAAGCTGATCGGAAAGTCGCCGAGAGAAAGATGACCTGGGGAGATGATGCGTCCTTGCTCCTGGTAGTAAGGCCAGGAGCCCCTAGTAGCGTCCTTGCTCATACATGTTTCGATCACATGGATGACGGACTTTGCATATCCAAAAGCCACGCCAAGCCACTCCTCCAACAATCGGCTGGTCAATTCCTCAGCGGCTTTCACTTGTGTGTGTGTGTGTGCCGTCCATGAGTCCATGACGAGTGCCTGACTCTTTGTGCTTCCAATCCAGCATAATCCAGCCAAAGCGCGACATTCTGCTGCCGCACCTCATCGTACTGCTGTCGGATGTCTTCAAACCTCGCTTGCATGCTGTTCAGTGAGTGAGCACTTCAACAGGTTTGGGAGCAATGGCATGCTGAGACTCTGAGACCTTTCATCTCTGGGCTGTTTTGAAGCTGCCACACTGCCAACAAGCGCCACAGGGCACCATAAGGCCGTAAGGCTCCCCAACTGTCGCAGCATCTCTCGCTCTCCTTGATGCTTGGACTTCAGCACGGCAACGTGCTCGGCATCCAAAGGGCTAGAAGCTAACAGTGTGATGATGCGCTCCACCAGAAACCTTAGTCGAGTTCTGCGTAAATTCACCCACTGTAGCTCTTAGTGTGACATAACATATAATATATATAATTTGGACATTGTAATGGTGCTATATAATTAGTCTTTCTTACCTCACGCTTTGATGGCCTCTCATTCTGGTCCTCCAAGCTGCTGCGAGCGGTTCTCGCACTCGCTGCACTGCTGCGTCGCATTGTTCAACCTGGGTCCAGACTCGAGCAGTGTCGCAGTTCAAAGGGAGATCTCACACAATGAACGACGTTCGGAACAACCAGACTGTCTCAAAACATCTCTTGGACGCCCTCGGATGTGTTCCTTTCAAGTTTCGGAGCCGTTTCAGAATCCAACGGAGGAACCGGAGATCGCATGAGATCCGATCCGTTGCCCGTTGATCTGTTGTGCACTTCGAAGTTTCTCCCGAGCTCGACCGTGCCACTCATAGCTTACGTGTACAGCATCTACTAGCTAATGACACAGCAGCTACAGTACCAGTACTGCCTAGCTTTATCTAGCTTTAACATGCTTTAATCCACCCAACCGCCCGCCCCCCCAAAAGCAGGAAAAGGAAACACACAAGTTGGGTGGGCGGCTCTTGTTGGAGAATGTGGAAAACCGGATAGGTAAGTTTGTCGCCCAGAATCTTCTCCAGCTCTTGAAGCAGCTCTTGTTGGCGCTGCTCCTGCTTTGGAGTCGGCATGTCCGAAGCAGAAAAGAGCATATGTTGGCCACTGACTTTGTGAACATGTCAATGTGTGTGTGCGTGTCTGTCTCTCTCTCTCTCTCCAGGCATGGCTCTCTGCCACCTCAATTGACAGTCCTTCAACTTGCCCCCGGTGTTGATAACAAAGTGAGGGAGATGGTGCACAAAGGAGATTAAAGGATCGGTGTAGGATAACTACACTGATGTTTGGGATGTAGTCTGCTACTTTCCATTTGATGTTGATGTGTCCAGTCTGTTGGATCTGTCTTCATGGCCTGGCAATTTTTGTGTGCATGTGCTGCACCGCTACACCCAAAAGTCCACTTGTCGTCCATCTTCCCAAGTGTGCGTGCTCAAAGAATGAATTTATATAGCCCCTTTATTTGCTTGCGCTTCATTCTTGTGAATGGAAAACTGTTAAAGGTGTCCTCCGATGTCAGCCAGTGGCCAGCCCAAAGACTGGGGTGCCCTTACGGATCTTCGGGACTTTTATGGCGTCGCATTTACCAATTCATCTCACCTACGGACCTACTCACAGCAACTCACAGCAACGCACGCACACATGCACACACACACACACATTTACACACCGGCTAAACCCATCCTGTATTCTCTGGAGTTCCGCGCAATGCTGAGAGAGCTCTTCAATGACTTGCATGCGCTGCTTCTCCTCAACTTCTGCAGCAAATCTCCGAAAAGGAATCTAATTTAAGCCTTTGGGGTGAGCCTGAACAACCTTTCTTCCTGATTGCCCTCTATTGCTGCTATTCGGGCTCCTTGCCCATGACCTCATCCACCTGTGCGTCAATGGCGCTGGCCAAAGCATCTGCCCGCTGCCGTGAGGCAATGAGGAGTGCCTTGCAAAGCTCGCCTTTTCAGCCATGCTACTCCGATGGGCCCACAAGGTACTAGGAGCAAGGACGCTACTTAGTGGCTCCTGGCCTTACTACTAGTAACAAGAAGCTATTACTAGGAGCTACAAGCGTCCTTGGGAATCGTTTCACTGGGAATCGTTTCACCTGTAGTAACAAGAACGCTACTAGTAACAAAGGGCATTGGCACCGCTGTACTAGGAGCAAGGACGCTACTAGTAGCTCCCGGACCCAATCGAACCTCAAGCCTCTTCGAGTGCCTCTCCGTGCCGATCCTTCACAACTTCTTGTCCTTGCCTTGAGTTCACGCCTCTTCTCAAGCAGCTGATGCTCTTCCTCATCAAAGGGGCAGTCCTGCAACGCCCAAGAAATCCCACAAAACTACAGCCAGTCAGCACCAAGGTGTCCACCCCTTTTGAAATATATGATGCTCCTGGCGTGGGCTCAATTCCGGTCGTGCAAATTCAATGGTGGTATGGCGGGCGACCCCCAATACTTTTGAAACTTGTCTATATACATGGGACCTTTTTTGTGCTGTGCTAGTATGTGCTGGTTCCTCTTCTCTGCACACCCTTGCGCTCGCGATTAACAATCATCCACTCCTCTCGCCAGTCTCTAGATCAGTGTGTCCTCCTCCAAAGTCTCAGCATCAGTAGGCACCTCTTGGAGAAATGGCAGCGGGACTGCTCATGCAACTAACAATATCCATGTTGATTCAATGGATCAGTTGTGCCTGACTCAGCTTTTCAGGGCCAATGTTGCATCACATTCATCACGGAGTGTTTTTTTCTGAGCCTCTTCCTCCAGCTGCTCCTCGCCAAGCTCTGCAAGCACAGACCAAAAGCCAATTTGCCTCCAGAAATGTCAACTGGAACATGTAGCTGTATAAATGCAGACTCTCCCTGCTTCAAAATTGTCAAGCTTGTCTTCAATGTCGTCCTTACTGCACTTACATCACCAGCCTAAGTACACTCGTGCTCACATCACATACATTTTTTGTGTCTGTATATACCTTACTAGGACGTGCTGATGCGCCCACCTTCTCTCTGGCTCGCTTGGCTCTGACAGGATCGGATCCATGGCGGCACCAGGGCTTGGACCGAAACAACGGGGTGACAGCCGGGCGGAGCTTACAAAAACAAAAGAGATTGGTAAGGCCCCCTTAAAGGAGCCTACCTTACCTGTTCATACAGTTAACGTATGTGTCTACTGTATGTTCTTTTTTGAGCAGAATGACGTATAGTATAGCTGAACACTCAGACCCAGCTCAATCAACTCACATCATCTCACCACACAACTGAAATCAGTGTGAAGAAAAAATAAGACGGGACGTCTGCAAGAAAACAATGCTCTAAAGAAAGAATACCAACATCATAAATAAAATTGTAAAAATACAAAAAGGAAAGCGTTAAGTTACCCTAAGAATCTAGGAATTCTAATGATTAGTGCGAGCGCTTCTTGAAGCGTGAGCTATCCTGCGTCCGAGGCACTAGCTACCCAGCTTCTACTAGCTACCTAGCTACCTCGACTCGGCCTACCCCCCCCCCGCCGGGCTAGCAAAAAAAGTCTCCATCTTCGCACCTCCTCCCCTAAGTTTCGGGTCACAAACTCTTTGACCGACTCCTCTTTCTCGGGCATGGGATCCTCACGAACGACATTCAAAGGGCATCCAGGATCAAAGAGGATCAAAGAACAATGATATGGCTGGTAGGCACAACTGCCTGGCGACGTAGGACTCACACCACTAGCGAGACTCTCTGGTCGGGCTGAGATCGTCAACGAAAACCCGTCCTTGAGTCCTACAGCTCCCAAACCAGCCCTGGCTTGGCACGAAAACAGAAGGGCGTCGGCGTCAAGAGCAAAAATGCAGCCAGAAGCCCGCGGTTTATTGTGAGTTTAGTGCACTTCGTGAACCAGCCTGACCAATGTAGAGTGAAATGGAAGTGTTTTGTCACAAAATCACCCAATGCCCTTTACAACTGTAGAGCTTCCTACCACAGCTGCATCTAAAGAGCAACTCCGGGAATGCAAGAACCTGGCAAAGTTCGGCCCCTGGGACGTTAGAGTGAAACAATGAGAGGACCATTCAGCAGCCATCTGCTCGCCTGATTTTCCCTGGCCAGGACAGGAAGTCACCAAAAACTGCATCAGCAGGACCCGCTGGCAGTGCTCGCAAGGCCCCCTGTGATGCGCTCATTCATCTCATCGGAGGGTTGGACAATGGATTGCAAGCTCGTTGGCCAACACAACGATAACAAAAGAGAAGCATCAAGAAAGCTCGGCTTGGGGAGAAACATCGGAGCAAAAAAAGAGCATGAACAATCGGAGGATGACACCACCACCCCACCCCCCCGCTCAGATCCGCCCATAGTTCTACAAGCATTCAAAGGTGCCCGCCTCCCACCAAACAAAGCGGTAGCTGTTGGGGTCTGCGAGCATGATGTCGTCCCTTACAACCATGATCCGTTGCAGGATTCAAGTCCCACAATGTGGTGGTGCATTGCTACAGTGAAGTTGGTGTGTACAACGAGTCACGGGTATTACTTGAGACCTCATCAAAGGCTTCTGGAAGAAGCTGGACTGCAATTACAAGGTCTCGTGTTGCTGATTCACTTATTGAAGGTTCAAGTATGTTTAAGTGTGATTCAACTTTGACATGGCCACTGACGTGACCTTTGGCATGTCCACAGAGCACCGTATTGAGCTCTGAAGGCCAAGGTGCTGAAGTCCAATATCGCCTTGGCTGGCTGAAACGAAGCCCCATACCTGGCCTATCGCCACACAACACAAAAGGATTGGCTGCATTGTGACGAGAAGGGCGCAAAAGCGCACATGTAATCAGTTCAAGATGTTCAAGAGGTTAATTTATGGGTCAAAAGTCAAAACCCACTCTATATATATATATATATATATGTTGCATACACAATGCGTTCCAAGAGGCAAGCTACGCTCAAAATTGCATCCTTAGCTTCCGATTGAACTGAATCAAGAATCAAGGGTTCTGGCTAGGGGCCTTCCTTTTCGAGCTGCTGTTCTACAGAGGGAAGTTGACAGACCGAGACCTCAACTTCTAGTGACTTCGATCGGCCACGTGCAAAGCTCCAACCTTTGCCAAGAGTCTCCTGGCTGAAAGGAGTTTGGCCCTTCCTCCCACAATCGGCCATTGCCTGTCATTGTGGTGATGTTTCCTCCTGCAGGTGTTTGGTGTTGAGGCTTGTCTCCAACAACAGAATTACGAAGCTTCCGAGAGAAAGCCACAGCCTTGTGCCCCTGCGCCCCAGACCCTAGGCTTAAGAATGACCAAAAACATCTCAAAACTCCCAGAATAACCAACCACCCCGAGTCCTTTCTAAAAAACAAATATGTTTGAGATTGTGTGAGAATGTTATGTTCCATTAAGGCTTAGGTTTCGTGTGTGACAGCATGAGGATACATTAGGATGCACATCATGTTCAACCTGTCGCTCAGCGTAGGAGACAAGCACATGTCTGTTTGCGCATTGGCTGGTCTTGCTATCTCAGCATGCTTCTTAACCGGTAGCCTCCCCCTCAACAAACAGCATCCGAGCACAAAGCCACACAGGTGTGGCTGCTTGGCCAGATGCAACCCCTGTCCTGCGCGATCACGAGCCTCAGTCACCACCACCTTGCTCTCCGGCCGGTCCTTCAAGATCCTGGCAAGCAGCTAAATTGGACTCACAAGGGGTCACAGTAGGGACCAGTCCAAACAGTTCTATATACTTGGAGTTCCCTTATATACTGGTCTTGGGGCTACATCACTCAAAGGCTTTGCCAAGCAACTCATCAACTTTGAACCCATTTTGCTTTCAATTGTCAACTTGCCTTCTGCTTTAAATTAAGCCTTCAAGGCTAAAAACAGTGCTCCTTCGGAGACACCAAGGCACAATGTGAAACTAGCATCGGAAGGGTCCCCTTCAGCTCGAGGCTTCGTCAGGCTTTTGATGCTTTGGTTTCGCCACACCAAGCATAAGAAGACTGCAGAAGCCTAGGGCAACCTGCCTCGGGCATCCTGGATTTTCAAAATCGCGGTGGCAACCCTTCAATTGGGGGCCGCTGGGATGACCACAACTTTGTCATCGGTCCTTTTGGCTTGAGATGGCTTGAGCCTTTGAAGGCAAAGGACTTAGCACGAGCCATCCCAACATAAGTCTCGATTCAAGAGGTTCCTCAGCCTTTGCGTTTGTCAATAGCAGGCAGCATGTTCCCCGCGCTCTTCCGGGGAGTTCGCGCTGAATAACTGCCACCATGCCTTGCACGCAGCTGCAACGGGTTCTCTGAACATGCACTGCATCATCGATTACACCCGTTCATTGATTTATACTGTCCCAGGAGAACCCGAGATCGACGCGCAAGGCCGAGAAACAGAGCCACGGTTAACATCAGGATTTGGTGAGCGTGTTATCATATTTCGGGTTTGTACGTTATCGTTCTTTTTGGTGAGTGCAGTACCGGTTTTAAAGACAAACACGGTTTGAAAATCTATGTCCGTCTCTCTATACTTGTCGTGTGTTGACGGTGCTTCAACAAACAATGTGACAAAGTAATTCTCGAAGGGGATCAGTTGGCCAATTATATAAAAGATTATAAAGGCTCGATATCGACGACCGCCCAATCTCGCAGACTCAGCTTCCAAGCCCGGCTGCCTAGCCTTTGCCCCGTCAATATGCAACTGAGCAACAAGTCTTTCCACCGTGGTTCTAGGAGCCTTTCAAGAGACCTGGAGCCCGGTGGAGACGGTCTTTGAATGTCTTTGAGGCATTCAATGGCACACGTCGGCTTCGCATTGATCTACCAGACCACGATTGGTTCGATTGATTGCTCCCAGGACACTCTGCAAGGAGCCGAACTTCTTCAAAAGCTGCAGACACCTCTTCAGTGGCAAGGTTTGGGCTAATATCCTGGAAGCGGCAGAATGAAAGCTTCATGCTTCAGGAAGGCGAATGATTCTTTCAATCATGCACTTGCACGGAGCCTTTTCTATATATCTTTCATGGATTTCATCAGTGCCAGCCTAGTTGCCAGGGTTTCCACAAGGTTTCGACATGGCCATGTCCACCAGAAGGGATAGGCATGATATGCACTGCCGACTATATAGTGAGGCCACTCGACATGGAGACTGCCGGTTATGCAAGATTTGGCCTTCAGCGCTGAGGCAGCTTCAGTGGTGCCGTCGGCTTCCTGTCACTAGCAGGCGGCTGTTGGGCAAGGAAAGTGCAAGCGATGCTAGCTTGACCTAGAAAGATTTTGTCACTGGGCGCAGTATTGATTTGCTCGTGTGCATTGTATTGTGCCCTAGCTGTTCCGTGCCTCCAGCCCCTCCTCGTCCTTAGAGAAGCACACAGAAAATGACAGCTGCCAGCGCCCATTCCAGACCAACAGTCTGGCCTCTAACAGTCTGGCTTCCAACTTAGGACCTGGCCTCCTCTTGCTCCTGCTCCTGCTGGAAATCCCACACATGTCCCGCTACTCACTATTGTTAGCATGTGGTAGTCTGTGTGTGTGTCGACCCCTGTTCCTAAGGGTTTTGGTTTCTTGCATACG